AGAAGACATATTTGAAGTACATTGTAATTATTTGTTACTTAAAATTAGAGTATTTCAATTTTCTTACTCAGGTCTTCAGATTTTACAGAGTTTAAACTTAATTATAAAATATGCAAGTCTGTGTTGTGTGGGACATAAAGGGGAGGAAGAGAAGTTGGGTGTCTTCAAGTTAAACCCTAAAATCCTATGTCCTTAAAATGTGAATCATGGACAAAAATCAGGGCAGCATTTGAGAAGGAAGTCCAGGCTCTATCTACAATCTGGGGTGACCAAATGTTTTTAATCCAACTACAGGCAGAGATTGGGTTTAGTCACAGAAACCCCTTCTAAAACTACTGAGCCCTAAATCCAGAGAGTGCCTCTTGACTACATCGGGGCTCCAGAGGTGGGAATTGCTTTTAGGAGCACACCAATGCAAGCATGCATTTGAGTCAGGGCTCTCTCCTAGGTGGGCAGATACGTTGTCCAGGTTGCCCTGGTTTAAAGCAAGCAGGAAACATCATCTGTTTGATGCATTTTGCCTAAGTACTGCACTGAGATATCAGTAAGACTAGAATCTAAAAGCTCATTTTGTAGGCAGCCTTAGCTATTCCCCAAGCCTCAGGTGAACCTTTCTTGGGAGAGGTGCAGAGAATTCTTGGTAGATAACCGTTACTCACAGCTTCATTGTCATTCCAGTAGGACTTATGCCAGCATTGTTAAAGAAGTAGAAAAATGGACATATTCGTATAATTAAGATTACACTGCTGGTACGGAGTTCCACAGGGTAGTCTAGATGAGCATATTACCAGTTCAGATGTGGATTCACTTCTTGACATCTATAATCAAAACTACCCTACTCCAGTGCACATAGAGCAAAATCAATTGACTGTGGACAGAGTAGATCTTAAATGACATTCTCAAATTTTCCTGCGGTTGTTAGCCTGGAGGACACAATACAAAAATTCATTCTCACAGCTTTGTTGTTCCCATGTTTTTTCCAGTTCATGCAACAGACTGTCATCAAGGCATACCCTGAAAACACAGACCACCCTTTATCAAACAGGGTGACCAAGCCCTTAGTGTGTTGTGGAAAGTCTGAGGCATGCCTTGTGGCAACTTACACAACAGGGCTCGTCAGCAGGGGCCTCCTCTCAGATAAATTCCAGGGGTGGGGGGTGAAGTTGTGACAGCATATAGAACATTATATGGAGTTACATTACATCTTAGAAAGGCAGGGAGTGGAAGACATAATGGAGCATACAAACCTATGGAAAGTCCAGTGGGAAGCGGGGACAACTGCCCCCTAGAAAATGATGCCCCTGCTGATAAGTATGAGAAGATATCAATGTGTTTTTACAGCTTTATGGAGAGGTACCCATTTGGGGAGAAGAGAGAAGCTAGGATCAGAGATTTGGGCAGCTGTGCACACTGGGGTATCCTGATGTGTAAACAGCATTTGGGCAATCACCCATACCATGGGTGTCTCCTTCCATGGGGGAGGAGAACAATAAACTAGGAAGACCTGTTTTGTTTACTTCCCCACCCTGGACGGAATACAGTGCAATGAGTTGACACCTATTCCCTGGCTAGTGCACAAAGAGACTGGGCCCATTTACACAGTACATATGAGTCACAAATGCTTTTATAAGAATAACCCAAGATGGGAACCTTTCAGCTGCGGCAGAAGAAGCAGATGGTTCCTACATGTCCTGTTATTCCGCAAGCCAGTTCTGTGGATGAACTCACTGTGCTGGCCCCATTATTCCAGGATAAGATCCCAAAACCTGGACCCCACAAAAATGCCAAAAAAATGCCATAGAGATTGGCTGTTACAGACACGGCCCTCAGGGGATCCTTTGCCTTCTGTAATTTATTCTGTAACTGAGATAACTCAGAGCTTGTTGACTTTCCTGTATGGTGTAAGAGGACAAAAAAGTGCTACATTGTCTAAACAAAGTAAAAGAAGCAGTGAGAGGCAGAAAGGCATTCTTTAAAAAGTGGAATTTAAATCCTATTGAGGAAAACAGAAAGGAGCATAAATTCTAGCAAGTGAAGTGTAAAAATATAATTAGGAAGGACAAAAAAGAATTTGAAGAACAGTTAGCTAAAGACTCAAAAAGTAACAGCAATTTTTTTTAAAGTAAATCAGAAGCAGGAAGCCCGCTAAACAACCAGTGTGTCCACTGTGCGATCGAGGTGCTAAAGGAGCACTCCAGGAGTAGAACGCCATTGCGGAGAAACTAAATGAATTCCTTGCATCAGTCTTCATGGCTGAGGATGTGAGGGAGATTCCCAAACCTGAGCCATTCTTGTTAGGTGAAAGATCTGAGGAACTGTCCCAGACTGAGGTGTCATCAGAGGAGGTTTTGGAACAAATTGATAAATTAAACAGTAATAAATCACCAGGATCAGATGGCATTCACCCAAGAGTTCTGAAGGAACTCAAATGTGAAATTGCACAACTACTAACTGTGGTATGTAACCTATCACTTAAATCAGCTTTTGTACAAGATGACTGATGGATAGCTAATGTGATCCCAATTTTTAAAAAAGGCTCCAGAGGTGATCCTGGCAACTACAGGCTGGTAAACCTAACTTCAGTACCTGGCAAATAGGTAGAAACTATGGTAAATAACACAATTACTTTACTTAAGCAAAGGAAACTGTCATGGGATTAGAGGGAAGGTGCTTTCAGGGATCAGTAACTGGTTAAAAGATAGGAAACAAAAGGGTAGGAATAAATGGTCAGTTTTCAGAATGGAGAGAGGTAAATAGTGGTGTCCTCAGGGGTTTATACTGGGACCAAAACTGTTCAACATAGAGATAAATGATCTGGAAAAAGGGGTAAACAGTGAGGTGACAAAATGTGCAGATGATACAAAACTACTCAAGATAGTTAAGTCCAAAGCAGACTGCAAAGAGTTACAAAGGGATCTCACAAATCTGGGTGACTGGGCAACTAAATGGCAGATGAAATTCAGTATTGATAAATACAAAGCAATGCACATTGGAAAACATAATCCCAAGTACACATATACAATGATGGAGTCTAAATTAGCTGTTTCCACTCAAGAAAGCGATTTTAGCGTCTCTTTAGGGTAGTCTCTGAAAATATCCACTCAATGTGCTGCAGCAGTCAAAAAAGCTAACAGAATGTTGGGAATCATTAAGAAAGGGATTGATAATAAGACAGGAAATATCATATTGCCTCTATATAAATCCATGGTATATCCATCCTCTATATAAATACTGCATGCAAATGTGGTCACCCCCATCTCTAAAGAGATATATTGGAATTGGAAAAGGTATAGAATAGGGTAACAAAAATGATTAGTGGAACAACTTCCATATGAGGAGAGATTAACAAGACTGGGACTTTTCAGCTTGGAAATGAGATGACTAAGGGGAGATATGATAAAGGTCTATAAAATGACTGGTGTGGAGAAAGTAGATAATGAAGTATTATTTACTCCTTCTCAAAACACAAGAACTAGGGGTCACCAAATGAAATGAATAAGCAGCAGGTTTAAAATAAACAAAAGGAAGTATTTCTCCATACAATGCACAATAAACCTGTGGGACTCTTTGCCAGATGATGTTGTGAAGGCCAAGACTATAACAGAGTTCAAAAAAGAACTAGATAAATTCATGGAGAATAGGTCCATCAATGGCTATTAGCCAGATTAGCCAGGGTTGGTGTCCCTAGCCTCTGTTTGCCAGAAGCTGGGAATGGGCAACGGGATGGATCATTTGATAATTTCCCTGTTCTGTTCATTTCCTCTGGGGCACCTGGCATTGGCCACTATCTGAAGTCAGGACACTGGGCTAGATGGACCTTTGGTCTGACCCAGTAGGGCCATTCTTATTTTCTTAAGAGGAAGGAGCTGGGATAATAGATATCAGGAGCCCAGTGAAGGGAGTTGCACTGTTCCCAAATGTTCCAACAGCTCAGGAATGTGGCGTTATCTCAGCTTCTCCAAATTCAGCTTATCTTTTATTGCTTGGCTGGACCTAGAATGATGATAATTCCCAGCTCACCACGCTAAACATCTTTGGGTTACAAACACCACACTATATCTCTGTCACATCGGTAAGAAGTTCTGTCTTCTAGTCCCTGAATGGGCAAAGCTGCCCATCTGTCAATACCCCATCCTGGTCCCTGATCTCTATGTGAGTTTTCTCTTCTCTCACACTACACCGCTATTTCTCTATCCCTCTTTCCTTCCTCTCATTCTCTTCCCCCCTCACCCAGTCATGCTATGGGACACTGACTTTCTGAAAGTACATCACATTTCCCACTCCCACCCCCCACACACATCTTGGTGGGTCTGCCAAGTCATATATAAAATTAACCTTTGGACAGTCCATCACCCTTCTCACAAGCAGCAACTTGCCTGGCTGGTGATTTGCAGGCTTCATACGTGATTTGCAGGCCTTTTTGTGGCTGTTTTCAATCAAGGGTTGGTGGGTGATGGTGGGGAGTGAGCTGTCACTTCCACTTTCTCCAGAGACCCCCTTCTCTGCAGCACATTAAAGCCACAACATGGGGGGAGGGGTGGAAAGGGACACTGCACCAGGCTTACATGCCACCCCTATTAGATGACCTAGTACCTCCCCCTGCTAGTGCAGGATTGCTCTCTACAACATGTTTTCCTGTGAATTGTCCAGTGGAGAATTAAGATGTCCCAAGTGATGGAGCTTCCATCAGTTCTATGTGGAGACTATTTTCATGGGATAGTAGATCTCACAGCAGACCTGTCAGAGCAACACAGCAGTGAATCTGTGTATCTTTCCTCCCCATCTCCCATGCCACCAACAGTGATTTACTCATCCTCCACCCTGCTACAAACATGGCAGGCTGGGAACATATGGTGAGTCCTTCCTCCAAGTGCTGGAGGGACACTTGATTTTCAGATTCTCCTTGTAACTGCAGGGAGCAGACACCAGATACGCACCCTGTTGAGCACTTTACATAAAGGACACCTGTGAATGCAAAAAGGAGGCCAAATGTTACTTACCGCAGTCTCTCTAATCTGCAGTTTGGCTGTTTCAATCCCTCACACAGCAGCTGCACGCCGGCATCTCCCAGAGAATCATTACCGCGCAGGTCCAGCTCTGCCAGGCTCTGGCTGGCTCTGAGAACAGCAGCGAGATCCCCGCAGCCAGCAGCTGTGACATCGCACTCCTCCAAGCTGCAGGAGAGAGAAAGGCAGAGAAGGGGGATCACGGTGTGAACGGGCTCATCACAGCTGGTCTGACAGGCCCGCTCTGGGACCAATCCGCATCCAGAATGAGCCAGAAGTCCTGCTACAGACACTGACCCAAGCCCCACTCCTTATCCACTGAGAAACCAGCAGTGGGTGGAACTGTCTGTCTAAACTCCACCCCTTGCCTTTTACCCGTCACTAATGAACAGTGGGAATGGTCTAGACGCCTCAAACCTCTGCCATTGACGAATAAGGAATAAGGTTTGGGATAAGACTTCCTTGCTGAGTACTGCCCCCTCACCCTCTCCACTGACCAACCAGAATTCAGAAGAGTAAAAAAGTCCTGCCACTGAGCTCTTGACCAGCCAGGCTGGACTTGGCACTGATCAGCCCGGGAATGGTGCGACCCAATCAGAGCAGGCCCCACCCCAGGCAGCTGGGCCAGGCTCAGAGCAGGAGGAACTGGGAGATCCTGACCCTCCACGCCCCCGGCACTAGCTCTGCTGCTGCCCTGCAGGAAACTGATGTCTCCTGTCTCTGCCCCCACCCCATCAGCTCTGACCCTCAGGCCTGGGGTGGGGAGGCAGCTGGCAGGCCCAGCACTGGCTGCATCACACCCACATTCCACTGAGACCAGGGACCAAAGTGGGGGAGAAACAAAGAGCGGAAGATCCCCATGGCAGGAGGTTCCCCAAGGATTAAGGAGGAAAGAGTCCCTCAAAGGAGGGCAACTGTGTGACCCTGTTATACAGTTGCCAGGTGTCCAATTTTCAACTGGAAAGTCCAGTCGAAAGGGGACCTGTACCGTGTCCGTCAAATGGACTCACCAGACACAAAAAGTCTGGTTACTGCAGGTGGTGGGGAGGAGGTGCGGGGAGGTGACGGGTTGTCAACCCACGCCAGACCCTGCTCATTCAGGGCCTCTTCATACATACATCTTGTGGGTAGTCAGGCTCCACATCATGAGCTGAAGCTCCCATCCCAGCCCTGGAAGCACAGGCAGCCAAGCTTGCGGAGGGAGATGGGGCGGTGGAGAGGATTGAGTGACGAGGAAGGGGAAGTTGTAAGAGCAGCTAGCAATGGGGGGAGGCAGGGAGAGGAGTGAGTGGAGGGCCTCAAGGGAAGAGGCGGAGTAGGGGGAGGTTCCAGCACTCTTGTTATAATGTCTGGTTTTCAGAAATTAGAAAATTGGCAACCCTACTCTGTTGGCAGGGCTTATTCCAGAGTCTCTGGTGGGGTGATAAAAGCAGAAGTTCTGCTGGTTTCTGTAACCCCCCTGCAGAGCCTGGGCTCCTGATGGAGCTGCCAGCCAGCTGAGTGGGTAACCATGGCAGCAGACCACCTATGACCATATGCACCTCAAAGACCACCTGCAATCATGAGAATCTTTGCCTTCCTTCAAGGGCTCATAGCAAGCCCCTGCACTCCCAAGCACGAGTCCTCTCCACCTCCAAAAGCTGCTAAATCTTGCACACATGTTGAGACACCCCTCCCACCAGAATTGTCACCTGCATGGCCTCCTTCATCACCTCAGTTGTCTTAAAAATATTTTTACTCTGCCAAATAGAGGGGAACCCCAACATTTGGGAGAGAAAAAAGCCCCTGAATTCATACAAGGGAGAGAAATCCACACTTCTTGGGGAGTGCCCAGGTTCTGTTAGGGTTTGTAGAGCCCCCAAGATATTTTGGAGGCAGGAAGAGAGGAGCCTGCAATGGGGGTTAGGGGAGAGTTTCTAAGATTGGGTTGAATGGGGGAGAAAAACCCCAAAGGTGTATGTGGGAATCTGAGGGGATAAACCTTACTTTGGGGAGGAGTGAAGTGAAGAGGGCATTCAAGCTGAAGCAGAAGAGAAGGACCCCATCAAATTTAAAGGTTAAAAGAGAGAGAGGGGACACCTGAGAAGGTGAGGCAAAAGAGATCCTAAAGTTGTGGGAGGACTTTTGAGGGGAATGGACCTCACTTGGAATTAGAAGGAGACCCCTTCTGCCACTCAGCGGTAATAAAGGGAGTAAGGAAAGAACATCCCTCCAATAGAGACACCTTGAGATATTCGATTAAAAGAGATAAGGCTAAGGCAGATTTGGGAAATACCCACCATGGTGCAGAGAAAGAGAGACCTCCAAAGATGAGCATCTAAGTGGGGAAAGACTGTAAAGAAAACAGGGGACACCCCTGGAGGACAGAGGAGAATTAATAAGGATACAGAGAGCAAGACAGAAAGAATTAATGAAGTGTGGAGGGAGTCAGGAGCAGCAGGAGGAAAACGGAGAAGATGGAGTGAGGGAGGAATAGTAGGAAAAAGAAAACAGCTAAATTTGAGGGCAAACATGGACACTCAAAAGAGTGAAGGAAAAAAAGAGACAGAAAGAGAAGAAAATATCTGAGCAAAGAGAGAAACCACAGAACAAATACAAAATAAATTTTAAAAAAGGGAGATAGAGGCATGTCGATTTTTTAAAAAATATTTTATATAAGTTTGATGCTAAAACGTTGCACTAAGATACACACTCACTGTATGTTGCCAAATGTTCAAAAATGACAAGTCAGGCTGCAAAGAGTCTTAAACTGAGCATAGTCATGTTACTGTCTTAAAATTCGTGAGATATTTTTTTTAAGGAATACACTGAATTCCTTTAATTTGGCTTCTGGTTTTTCAGACTTTAGGGTTCATGTTCAGGCTGTCTCTGCAACCATGAGAATAGAAACTTAGCTTTTTCTTTTTAAAAAAAATGGAGAGTCTTCCTTAGTCATATGACTCTGGGAGCTAGGACTTCCAGAAAAACATGAAATATCAAGAGATTTGTGATAAAACCTCAAGATGGCAACATTGTCATATATCACAACATGATTCTCTGGTGTAACAGGGATCTCAGGGGCCTGGCTGAGAATGGTAGAGGGCGTGGGGGTCCATTGTTCCTGAGGTCAGAAGCAGGAATAACCTGATTTTTCTTTCTAACAAAATGATGTGTAAAATAAAGGGTTTTCAGTCCTGATTTAACTGTAAATCTGAATACAAACTTAATCCTGGCGCTGCTCGTGGCCCTCCATACATTCCCCCATCAACTCAAATTGAGGCTGGGTTTTAGAATGTAGTTGTGTGTGCATCTGTTGGCAAATAATCATGTCGACTGGGTTTTGATGTACTTCTATATTAACAATATGTAATCTGAGACACTAGAAAGTTATTCTAGTGCAGAACTCCAGATGAACACCATGAATGCTCTTATTATTCTAATTGCATAGAATTTTGCCTTTGAAATGTCTGAAGACTTTCAAATATACTGGAAATGGCACATGACATTTCAAAAATGTTTGGGAGGTGCCACCCTTCACTCCTCACCTCCAGGCAACCCTACCTGGATTTTGTTTTGCCTCTTCATAGCTTTCACATGATTGTTTGGGTCTGGTCTGGTCAGTAGTCAGAGCTTTTTAATTTTCCTGACACACTTAAACAAATTACACAATGTGTAAAATTCATCAGTAGTACTGGCACTAATTTTTAAACGGTGATTATTAAGTAGTTCTACTTTAAAAACCACAACCATATAAAAGAGAGGCTGTGTCCAATCCAAAAAGCACTTTTCTAAGACCAAACCCCCCCCCCCCCCCCCAAAAAAAAACCCACAAGACAATGATCACAGTTCTCTGAAAGAGAAAGGAGGCTCTTGTAGTTAAAGTCCTGGCTCTACCATTCTATCTTTTTGGATCTCAATTTTCCATGTGAAAAATTGGAATAATTATACTTTCTTCCCCCATCCTTTGTCTTTTTGGTCCCATATAACAGGGTGATACTATAGTTAAGGTTTAGACCAGGTTATTTTATTTCGCTATTTTACTGGATAGTTCCAGGGAATAGTCAGTTGCCCTTTGATCCCAGGTCAGTTTGAACCCCTACTTGTGGAGACAATTGGAAAAGGCAGGATAGCAGATTGCCAAAATGTGTGTCTGGGGAGATTGTTATTTTGGGGAAATGTAATCAAAGGATTATTGTTAAAAAATTAGTTACATGAATGCTTGCTGGCAGAGAGGAGCATTTTAGGGGTGCATGAGTGGGGGGAATAAGCATGAGAGGGATTTGGGGCTGCACTGAGGGGAGGGGGATAAAAGTGGATGGGTGGTAGGGGAGGTGAGGGGGAAGGACACATAAGGTAAGTAGCAAGGTGCTTGGGGAGAATGGGGGGAATGGTGCCTGTCAGATCCACATTCTTCCCTTCTGTGTGTGCCAGGATCTGGGGTGTCTGACCTCTATCCCTACCTCTCTCATGTGAGCCAGCTTTTGGAAGGGTTTCATTTCTAAGGGTGACTGAGTCCCGCTCCCTTCGTGTATGCCAGGATCAGGGGAAGTCCTGCTCCTCTGGGTGGTAGAACAAGCATGCTCAGAGCAAGCACCAAGAACACACGGCTGAGACTGAGGTGAGAAGCCGGGCACAAGTACACTTGACCAGGCCGGACTAACCTTTTGTGGGTCCAGCACCAAACATATTTGTGGGCCCCCATGGAGGCAATGGGGCATGGGCTGTGGGGGTCGGTCTCTGGAGTGAGGGGCTGGCTGGGGGCAATGGGGCACGGCGCAGTGGGAGCAGTCCTGCTCCACACAGCCCAGCATAAGGGCACTGTTTACAAACCAGCAGCCGCCAGATGCACATTGGCCTGCCTGGCCCTGCGCTGCCAGCATACCCCTCCCCTCAGGGGTGAGCCCGTGCCTCACCACACGCCCCCCCCCACCCAGAGACCCTACACACAGACCTGCTATGGCTAGCACCCCCATGCTAAGAGACCCCCCCCAGACTGCTCCCACCACAACTGCACTGCACCCTGCACACCACGGCCCCCCACCCTCAGCACCCTCACACTCCGACTGGCTGGAGCCAGCCTCTTGGGGGCAGCACCATCAGCCAGGCCGGAGCATGACTGGGGCTTGTGCAGGCTGGGCTACCTCAGGACCCACTTGCCTGGTGGGGCCCGGCTGAGCCCTCCATGCTGC